AAAAAAATTCCAATAACAGGTAAGGCATTTTATTTATTATTTTATTTTGTTCTCTTTTCTTCCCATCACGGTACCATGTGATGGTTTCCACTTTTGGTTTAAATGTCCTTTTTTTTTTTTTAAGATTAAATTGAGACTTCTTCTGCGTCTCCAGCTTTGTTCAGCACGGGCAAGTAAAACAAATTTGCTTCCCTGCCCCCTTTTTTGTCCTCCACACGAAAACAGGAACAGGCGGACGAACAGCAACGGGGAAGTAGTCATCCCGAGCTAATAATCACCCCCGCCGGCAACAACATTCGATTATCCCAAAGGTGACATTTAACCCAATTTGGACGCGTCAAAACATTGTAAAAATTTACTTATTTGATAAAAAAAAAAAAAAATCCCCCCGGTCGCTGCCCCACAAAATGAGGAAGCATGAACGGGGAAAATCATAAAAAATGAAAAGGGGTTGGTAACAAAAAACATATTTTGGCGACACGCACCGCATAGAAAAAGAAGCGACGGCTAGACCAGTTGCTGTCCTGCCCGTACGGGTTGAAACAACCAAACGGGGGAAAGCAGAGCGGTTAGAAAAATTCATCCGCGTGGTCATATGAGTGTCTCCGCTTGCCGTCCCGCCTACTTGGGGGCGAAGAAAAACCAGTGCTTGGTGTACAGCGTCAAATTTGGTAACATCACAAAAATGGGGATGGTGAAAAACAGAAACGTAGAAAATTTAGGTAAAAATAATATGTCCGTTGAACTCATATTGTTACTATTATAATTGGAGAATAAAGACAGAGGAAGCAAATTTACAATATTTAATGAATTCATATTTGACATATATTTGTTGTCACTAGCATTTTTTATTGGTAGACTTCCTAGCCGTATGCTGAATGGTGTAAATCCGTAACTCTTCTCCTCATCGTTGCTTTTCTTCGCTGGCTCGTTTTGCTGATATATGTACCGCATCAGCGGGGAGGTGTATGCTCTCTCTTCTAGGTTGATGTCCATTGGGGCTGCATGAAAGGGGAAAAAAAAAAAAACACACACGTGTTTGAAACTATGCATTACACGGATGGAAACCGAGATAACCCTCTTTCAGTTTCCTTCTGCAGTGTGCCCACACGAATATGTGTATTTCTTCTCAACTATGTATACGCCTGAACGTGCCACTTGATCTGCGACCCATATGCTGCTCTAGCTTGGCAAAATAGCAACACAAGGGGGGCGCGTAATCGTAGCCCTACCTAAACTTCGGTGTAATTAGAAGTGGTGACAACCTTGCTTCGGTCCGTTTCTGCTCTGCCGTAAGTCTGCCTTTAGGCCTTACGAAGAGGATCCAACTGTAACCTCTATTTTGTGGATGTCCTCGCTGCCTCACACTATTAGCTGTGTGTTTCTTCTCTTCCCCAAAGAATAAAAAAAAAAAAACTCCGCGATTATTTTTGCGCCTTCCTCTGTTGGGTGAGGTGGGCCTAGGATCACTTCACTTAAGCGATTAAACGATTAACCCGTTTTTACTGTACATATATTTTTTCCCACACTTGCGCGGTATGGAGTACCTAAATGCGAGTCGATGTTGGCCACCCAACCACACCTTCGTGCTACTCCTGTGTTTTTCCACTTGAGGGAAAAAAATGAAATATACATTTTCTGTTCACGTTGCTGGAAGGATGTACATATACCAAATGGTTATAAAATGTGTGTTTTTTTTTTTTTTTGTTTTATGTTTGTTTTTTTTTTGTTTTTTTTTTAAGAGGCAGGCGCACCTTCTTAAGGGTGTAGCTTGAAAAAATGCACTGTGTGTTTTTCGGCCTCTTTCTTTTCTTTTCAACCGATTCGCGCTATTGTACTTCTTGCCCAGTTATAGGACATACCCATAACGTTTTTTCAGGGGAAAAAAAAAAAATTTTAAAGGTGTTCCTCATTGTGCTAACCGGTTGAGGAACGCTGCTCCGTTTAAATGCTTCACCTTCTCCAAAAAGATCGCTGCGTTGCGTTTGCCTCTACCATGTGACCGAGCGGACTAAAACGGAGGAAAATTTCATTCACGCAAAGATGAATACGTCGACGTTCCCACCCCTCATCACATCAGTGCTGTACCTACGTAACGCTTTTTTTTTTTTTTTTTTTTTTTTTTTGCATACGCGTTCCCTCATCGCACATCTCCATGTGTACTCGTTACACTTTCACATTCCCTCCACATGCACAAGTATAGTTGACAGGTAGTGATGTGTTCACACGAATGTTTGCTTAACTTTTACTTTACCACTCATCCCACATAAGCCAAGCTGCACGAGGTGTACATCTTCAGAAAACACATCATTTGTGAATTTCCCTTTTTCTTAACTTGTGCTAGACAAGGCAGTTATGAAAAGAAAAAGAAAACAAAAAAAAAGTGAATTATTTCCCAATTTGTGCGATTAAAAAAAATGTAAAAATGTACATTTCGATTTTAACCTCCTTACAAGTGTATGAACAGTTCATATTTTTTTTTTTTTTTTTTTTATCCCCTATGCATACGTGAGCATAATAATTTACATGGTTACCTTGCCTACTACGAAAATGTTTGCTTGTTAACCTAATTCGTTTGCACTTGGAGAAGAAACAAAAAGGAACTGCCTCCCTCACGACCATTACCTCTACCGCCACCTCTACACCTGTCACGATTTACACATTTGAAACGAACATTTTGTCCTTCATTTCGGTCAGCACATAACATAATACATGTGTAGAAATCCTCTCAAAAGGGATTTTTTTTTTTATCTGCCCCCTCTAGGTATACCCACCTAGCCATGCGTATGAAACTGCACTAGGAGTGTGATAAGCGTCTTCATATAAATATGGAAAGTGTATGACGCCCCTGAGATCTGCATTCCTTGACGAAGAACGCACTCTCTCGCTCAGACATAAGAGAGGGGAGGGGGGTGGCACATTCACATACGCATATGTTCTTATGTTCCCATACGTGTATGTTTCTTTGCACGGGCGACCATGTACCTGTGCATACGTTCGTATGGGTAAGAATGGAGGCATCCCCTAAATTGTCTTACGCACCAAAAAGAAACACACGGGGGTAAAGTCCTGCAAAACGGCTGAGAACCCCAATTCCAACGCTTCAAAAGAAGGGACGAATGACATTGTGTTGCTCCGTTGTCGCCACATCCTATCCTACCTATGTGAAGCCTTTTTGTAATCCCTAAGAAGAGTGCATATATACGACGAAGTGCAAAACTTTTGTTAAAATTCCCATGTGCATATAATGCCAAGGATGTGCGCGTCCGTTGGAGCAACGAACAAGAACCCTACACATCCATGCGCCAAAGGATGAAGGCTCATTTTTTTTTTCACTATCCTTTCGCTCCACAGCTTGGCCACTTTATGGTATCCCTTTTTTTTTTTTTTTTCTTGATACCCCTGTTTTCTCCTTTGTGCACTTATTTGTCTAGCACCTTCGCTCTGTTCTACTCCAGCGTGGCCACCCTCCTTACAACAGCACCGTTGGGTCATGCCAAGGGAGGTGCTCATATTAACTGCTACATTTTTTGGGAAACCCACAAAAAAACTTTCCCCTCCTTCCCACACGGAAATGTACACAAAGGAGGAGGGGCATCCGAGCTAATCGAGCACACAAAATAAAACAAACAGGGAAGGCGCATTGCGCACAAGTACCTGCACGTGGCAGCCATGAGGAGTGCACACCGATGGACTCACAACATGAGAAGCGCCGAACGGGAAGTCATCAAGAAAAGTGAATCAAGAGAATCAGATAACGGCAGCTCGCACGGGAAGGAAAAGAAGGAGAATAAGGAAAAGAGGGAAAAGGATGCACGAAAGAAAACACAACAATACACAAACGAACTGTGCGAAATTCTCTCCTCCGATGACAGCAATCAACACATTGAACAGGACACAGACAATTTTATTATAGTGGAGCTCATTTCATACATCGCTGGGAACTCCAGAATTATGACCTACTATCCGAGCACCCGTGGAAGCAAATCTGGTCAGAACAAGTACCTTCATCACTTCTACAGCAAAAAGAGGATCAAGCTGTATTTGTGCCTCCACAAAAGGAGCAACGAAATTTATATATACAAGGTCGAGTCTAGGAAGGTCAAGAGGAGGGACACACATCCAGGCAATGGTGCCTGTTCACCTCCCGTTCCAGACTCCATCTCTTTCCATGGAGAGAACATGAGAAAAGAAAATGCATTCATGCACAGCGGTAAAGTCAAAAGTGAGCAACAATATCACGCACCTCCACCTCCCAATGAAGAGCATAACCCCATCATCAACGAATTCACCTCGTCCTGCAAAGAAGAACCAACCCATGACGACTGCAAAAGGGACAAGTATAAAATAAAAGTTGAAGATAAAGCTATACCAGTGTGCACTGAAAACCCTGACTTGAGAGAAAAATGCACCAAAAAAATGGTTGTCACAAAACTGTTTGATAGCGTACACTGCAGCTACGACTTGTCCACCATCGAATTCACAAAATTGAATAACCCAGATGATAAAACCTTAAACTCGTTGAAAAGCATTTTGGAGCAAAAGATTAACAAAGGTGAGACGAGGATATCCGATGCGGGCTATTCCCGGGAGGGGGGTACTACTAAAATGGACACTTCAAAAGGGACACTTCCAAGTAAAGGGGACACCCAACTTGACACTTCCAATCTTAATACTCTTTCGAAGGGCATTCCTCCTAGTGATCATTCCTGCGCAAAAACAGAAGAGGCGGGAAAAAATATGACCCGTTCAGGCGATAATGATAATGCATGTGACAGCCAAATTAAAATATTATTTCTTCTTTTTCGCGAGCCAGCAGACATATACATGAACCAGTTTGCGGCTTTTGACCAAGGTACTGCAAAGACATATCTTACACTCGCGTGAGTAATGAAGGGGGAGAAAAGTGCACATGCGCGAGCATACATACTCCAGCAGATAGGTCTGCTCCACACACACACACACACATATACACACGTGATCACTTCATTTTGCTTCGACTTTTTTTTTCCCCCCCACCAGGAAACGACGAAACGTGCATGAAGGAAATAAACGGGTTTTTGAAGGACGAGCAGCAGCAGCACCTCGAGAGGGAGTGCACAAAAGCTAAAAGAACAAACAAATACGGATCACAAATCAAACAAATCACACATGACCAAGTTCCACAAAACTTCCTACAGAGTTACGAAAGTGACGTAAGCATTTACAGCAACGACGTCTACTTTAGCGACACACAAGTTGTCACCAGGGAAAACGAACTCGATATGAATGAGAAGAAAAAAAAAAAAAAAAGCATTCCAGTTTTCACTCGAAGCCATTTAAAAATTAAGTGGCTTCTACTCAATTTGAATTTAACAAAAGATGAAGAAGTGCTCATACAAAAATATGTACTCTTGAAAAAAAACACCATTATGAGGTCCACCAAGTCTACCCACGACTCGAACGACCTGCACTCCAGTTTTTACAAAACGAAGAAAAGGTCCAACTGGGAAAAGGGAAAATTTCCTAGGGAACAATCTCATTTGCTTAAGGGAGACACCACTTGTAATGGAGGGAAACCCTACTCCACGCGTAGTACCAGAAAGGGTAACAACACACAAGTCAGTCAACAAAACAAAAATAACACCGAAAAAAGCAGCAGCAATGAGCCACACCATGCTCATCTAAGCATGAATGATCGAGACGACAACAACCATAATGAGAACACTGTTAAGGACAAACTAACGGAGAGAAGCAACAAATCCATGTTCATGATTAAGTTAGAAGATGATGAGGTGAAGACCAGACGACAGGCAGGTGATGTCCATCATGAGCATGTGACAGTGGAGGACAAAATGTCTTGCCAAGTGGGGGAGATAAATGTTGGCAATCAGAACGACGATTCTGCCGAGGTTGATCGTACTGTGCGTGAAGCGGATGCACCTGTTGAAGCAGTTTCATACTACCACGTTGCTGCTCATTCTACTGCGGACGATGCGCAAAGCGAATTTGTCCCCAGCAACAGTATCTCGAAGGGGAAGAACTACCTCCACGACGACCCCACCACCAGCCAGGAACAGAGCTGCGCCTCCAAAATATGTTCATCATACTCCTACCTGGACCACAGCTCTCAAGTGTTGTACGATCAGGCTACTGACCACAAAGAGGAAGAAACTCAAAACGTTAGGAAAAGAAAAATTGAGCAGATCGAAAATACTAACGAGATGAAAAACAGAGGGAAAAAAAATTTGCATGCTTTGTCGGAGAGGGAACGTTACCATGATACCTTTCCTGAGATAAGAAATACCCAATGTGAAATTGTAACCTCCGAGGTGGAAGCAGCAATCGGCAGTTGTCAAGTGATAGACGTCATCAGTACGTCAAATGGGCCATCCAACGGGCCGTCAAACAGTGCACCAAACGAAGCGTCAAACGATACTTCGAACGACTCCCTGGCGGTTGGCTCCGGAAAAAACCACTCCGGAAACTCCCACGCCAGCTACATCTCCGAGACCGACTCCAGGTACAGGAGGTGTGCAGACTCCGTGGAGGAGGTCCTCCCGACGGGGGAAGGGCAGGGGCAACAGATGCAGCGCGATGGGGTTGTTGGCAGCTCTGGAGACAGCTTATCAGGCAACTCCGACAGGGAGGGTTGCATCCAGGGGGATGTTTCCCGCGCCGACCAGGAAGAGGTTAACGAGGGGAGTGACCACAGTGCCGTAAGTGGGGACCACCTCCCTCCCTGCCACGCGGAAAAAGCAAACGAGACCACCCAAAACAGCACACGTAACGATGCTGACAGCGAACAAGGCGACCAAGAGGCCCTCTTCTTCAAGTACAAAGTGAGAAGCGTATTCGATATTATTAAAGTCATATGTTGCCACTTCATGAGGCACTTCAAGTACACCACCAAGCTAAAATTCTACATAACCACATTTTTAAATTTCTCCAAAATCGAAAAAACCAAATTGCAGTTCATGCACAAGGAGAGAATAGTAGACACGCAGTTGCTCAAAATGTATATCAACAAAAAAACGGAAGACGTTAACAATGCTTGGAAGATCAACACATACAAAATGGACCCACACAATCTCTTCCGTTTGGGGAAATTTAAGTACATTGATGATTCTATTATTGACTTCTTTCACAACTATATCCATTCCTTTGTTCTAACAAAAGACAAGAGGAAAAAAAACGACATTTACATTTTCAACACGTTTTTTTATAAAAAAATTGAATTGTATGAAGACTCCTGCAAGGCTTACATGAACACCAATAGGTGGATTCAAAAGTTAGACAGGAAGGTCTACGAGTACACCTACGTGTTTGTTCCCATCAACATCAGCAACACGCACTGGTCTCTCGTGCTCCTCTACTTCCCCTTTAACGACAACCAAGGGGGGGGACAACATCATGAGGAAGTAGCAGCACAAGAAGAAGTAGCAGAGGGAGAAGAAGAAAACAACGCCCAGGAGGCAAGCACACCCAGTGCAGAAGACTCTCCGGACAGAAGCACACCAAGCGAAGAAAATTCCCTGAATAGAAGCACGCCCAGCGCAGAAGACTCTCCGAAGAGAAGCACGCCAAGTGGAGAAGACCCCACGAGCAGCAGCTCACCCAGTCACTCCAGCCAACCGAGTGCAGAAGACTCGTCCCCAGACCATTTACGTGCATCATTTAGAAGCAAATCATGTGAGTCCTACTTTTCCAAAGAGGCAGGGGGGGCCCTCTCCGAATCGAACACGTCCAAGAACCACACTTCTCTTTTGAACAATTATCTTCAAGGACAAGGCAATGTGAATCATTACCATGAAAAGAAAGAAGGACACTCCTGCAAGAACGTAAAAAGTGCAAGTGATTGTGGGGACCACCACACAGAGGAAATCCCCGCAAATGAACACATGACCTCCCTGTTGACAGATACAAACAAAACGGGTTCTACCAGAACAACCTGCAACGAAACTTCAACCAAAGTAGACGATCAGCAAAAAAATGAAAACGTTAAAATCGCCTACATGATTTACCTAGACTCTCTCTTCCCCTCCATCAGGGGAAATAAAATTTTGCACAAGTTGAAAAAGTACCTGGAGTATATGCTGCAGCGGGACTACGCATCTCCCGCGGGGGCAGCCCCCACCGCTACGTATAACGCTACGTCTAACGCTACCACCACCCCGCGCATCTTCTTCAAATTTGTCTACCCTAATGTTATCCCGAAGCAAACGAACACGTACGACTGCGGCATTTACATCATCCAGTTCGTTTTGCATTTGTGTCTGAATAAGCACCTGGTAGAAAGCGAGTTGATCAAGTCATGTCGGGAGAAGGGGAAGAACAGCCCTGCCGGTGATCGATTTCACTTCAGGCTTCACAACCATAGGCGCGATGTCGGCAGCTCCTACTCGAGGTCAGGTGTGAGAAAGCCCGCCCCGTGGTTCTCCCCCAAGGATATTAGCTTAAAGTAAGGGGCAAATTGCGCGTTGGTGGCGCCGTGAGAAGCGGCCTAAGCGCCTTCATTCCCAAGTGGCATCTTCACCAACCGCTTATCTTGCTCTCCCCCCGTGTGTTACCACCCCTCACACAGTCGCTTGTTCCCGCATTCTTCCCCCCAACAGGCGCAAGCAAATGAAGAAAATGCTCCTCTACATGAAGAATGTAGTCGACTGGAAGTCGGACGAACACGTCCAGACCCTCAATTTGCTTTTTTTGAAGAGTCACAATATGGAGTGTACGAGGACCAAAGTGGAAGATACCTCTACGTGAATAATCTTCCTAAGTATTTCTTCTTTTTTTATCGCTCAGGTGGAGCGGAAAAAAAGGATGAAGGTTTACCTCCCCCCCCTGGTGTAAACACCTGTGCGTTGTTCTTTTTTTTTTTTTTTTTTTTGTCAATATTAATATGTACTGTGCGAATCTGCGTGGATGAAGAATTGGAGGTTCATATCCCATCTCTTTCACGCTGCACATATTTGAAGGTACACACACATGCACATAAATACATACATATGTGTGTTCCGTTTAACTACATTTTGAACTGGCCGTGGAAAAAAAGACAACTGGCACTTCCCTAACTCGAAGCAGCCTCGGCTGGCGCCTTCCCAAAATTTCCTACCATCATCCCAACTACATTGCGCTTTTTTAAAAAAATTTCAAAATTGAACAAAAGGGGTATGAACGGACTTAAAGTTTCAGTTTAAATATGCAAAGAAGTGAAAAAAAAAAAAAAAAAAAAGAAAAAAAAAAAGCAATGTCATGAATAATATAAAAAGCAAGCATAATTTTAAAATAAAATGTGATAAAATATATTTTTCAAAATTTGATATTTCGGGGAGGGCCAGATAAGGGATGGGGGTACGAAATTGGAAGATGGGTGAAATTCCCACGTGGCAACCTGTTCGGTCACCCACGCAGTACACATATATATATATATATATGTATATAGCTTCATTCGTCACCCTTAAGCGGAGCCATCCATAAAACGCATGTTTTCCCCCTTCATCTCGAGGGGTGCGCCGTCAAGCGATAAGAAAAAAAAGGGGGGGGGGGGACTCGGGAAAAAAAAAAAAAAAAAAAAGGAGACACCACAGCGTGTACACAATATGTACCTACACGTGTGAGTATACCCATCTGTAAGCAAATACTTTGTACAATACACACACATCGCATAAGTTTGGACCAAACAAGGGGAACACACCAGGGGAGAGATAGATAGAGACGGCCCCCCTTCCCGCCACCCACTCCGCTACCGCTACCGCTACCACCCCCGCTGCGATCGCTCCATCCACCAAAACGTGCCAACCAGACACGAACGGTTGAACCCCCCTCAAGAAGTGGCGCAGTACAGAACAAGCTCCTTATCGCCGTCCGCCTCCGATGCGTAAGAATTGGCCAACGTCACGTGGATACTAGGAGCAATGAAAAAAACAGTACCCTTCTTCACGCCCTTAATGCTAGCCTTTTTCTTATCATTCTTCCTGCCCTTAATTTTAACAGTGCGATTGCTAGACAAAACAATGCATGACGTAAAGCTCACATCAGAAAATAAGAAAGTCACGCTCTCTCCTGGTCGAACAGTTAAAAATAATATTCGAAAATGCTTCATCTTGTAGTAGCTATAAGATATTATATTGTAGTTTATAAATTCCTTTTCAAGGATTATAGGGAAATTCCTTTTATAATTTACATACTTTATAAAATTTACTTTGTCTATCTCCTTGTTCGTAAGTCCTCCTCGAATCACCAGGTCCGAGTTAGTCATGCACTCCAAGCAGTGGCCAGAAATGTACGAGTGAATAACTCCTGGCTTAATATACACCACATCTCCATCCTTCAAATTTAGTTGTTGCAGAATAAACACAAATATTCTTCCTCCATCATTTGGGTGAAATTTAGACACGTTATAAAAAATTTCAAAAATGTTATTAATTATAAAACTTTCCGTTTCTGACTGAACATCTTGGTAGTTTTTCTTCTTACACACATCTGTATAAATTTCTTCTGGGCTTTTTTTTAATAATTCCTTTTCCTTCAAATAGGACTTGTATTTTTCATTTTTCGTTTCGATGTCATTAACACACTTGTTCAATACGTCGCTTTCAACTAACATGGTTCGGTATGTCAGGTACTTGAAAATGTGTTCATAGAAGGCTTTTATTTTTTTTCTGCTTCCTAGCTGGGCTGCGCATTGTAACTCCTGCTTCTTGTCTGAGCAAACGTGAGCGTCACCCTTAACCTCAGCCTTAACTTCGCCCTTAACTTCGCCCTTAACTTCGCCCTTCACCTCATCCTTCACCTCACCCTTAACGTCACCCTTAACGTCACCCTTTGCGTCACGCTTCGTGTCACCCTCCGATCCGCCTTCCGACTCTGTTGCACCCTGTGGCACTCCCTTGTTTTTCTTCTTCCCCTTTCTATTCGCGGTTTGGGGGTTCGGGTTATTTGCTGTCTCCACGGCACGCTTCTTCTCCGGGTCCTCCCCAGATGCAGAAACTGAATCCTTGCCCTTTCCCCCCTGCAACTCCGCTTTACTGCCCCCATCTACTACCCCCCCTCCTTTGACGTCCACCTGCTCCTCCACCACTTCCTCCTCGTCATCCTCATCATCCGAACCGCTTATCCCCGATGCACCCCTCCTACCATCGCCGCTGTTTTGCAGCTTCTCCTTCTCCACCTTAATCAAATTTCCCAAGTTTACATTTTGCTCCAAAAATTTATCATTCTTGTAGAACCCTTCAAAGAACCCTTCATCGAACACATACTTCTGAATGCACTCCGCGTAGTTGTCAATCACCGACAGGACGTCATAGGTCTGCCTGCCTCCTCTCTTCAGAGAGTACACAATTATGTAAATGTAAATGCGCGCCAACATTTTCATGAGCTCCATCACGTGCTTATCCTTTTTTGTGTGGAACAGATCGAACAGATGAAAAATGTCTCTTTGCTGTTCTCCCGCTGGGCTGTCCTTCCCTGCTTCCCCAATGCAGCTAACACTTCCATTTGGGCTGTTCCCTCCATTCGGATTATCCCGCTTCAGGTAAAAATCGTGGAGCTCCCGCACACTCGTCACCAAAAAAGCTATTTTAAACACATTCATAAAGCCGCACAACAAACTCATGGAATTAATACAAACGCACATCTCCGTTTTGAATACTTTGTCCTTGTACAGATTTGGGTTCAGTGTATTCAGGTAAAGGGTCTGCATTTCGTTCGGGTGAATCTGTATGCTCAGGGGCTTTGAAATGGACAACAGCTTAAACAGATAGGGAAAGAGCGTGTTCTTATCAATGTCTTCCTTTACAATATCGTACTTTTCGTACATGGAATAATTGTTCAATGAGGAAAATTCAATTTCAGAATATCTCTTCACATCAGCTTCTGTGCTTCGATTCGTGTTCACATCTTCCGACTTGGTTGAATTCTGTTTATTGTTATTCTTATTTTTCGTATTTTCCTTTTTTTTGAAAAAATATTTTCCAATTTTCCCTTTTTTCTTGTTCTTTGCTTCATATATTTGTAAAAAATTTTCAATTTTTATAAAATTATTTTTGTACAGTACTAAGTTAGGACCCTTTTCGTGATTTCCGATCCAGAGCTCTGCATACTTTGGCTCCGATTCATCATTTGTTTTGACTTCATCCTTACCGTTGCTGCTGTTCTCTTGGTTTTGCTTGCTCTTATCCTCTGGTGAGACATTCTCCGTGCAATTCTTTGCACGTTTCCCCTTGTCCTTCGCCGCTGCAGCTGCAGCCGCCTGTTTCTTCTTTTTCTTCTTATCCTCTTTACTATTCGGTATATACTCCTTTATGTATTCCACCTTATTGATGTCCTTTTTCACCAAATGGTAATTCTCCTTCACTATATTCTTCATAACGTCGTAAACCATCCCATCTTTACCCTCACCCCACTCGTACTTTTGTACATAAGGGATACATTCGTTTATGCACAATTTTCGGGTCTTCATTTTGTTGTCTGGTCGAATGATATTTTTTTTTTTTCCTTTTTTTTTTTTTTTTTTTTTTTTTTTTTTTTTTTTTTTTATTCTGCGTTTGGCTAGCTACGCGAACGAGCTAAGCCCTCCGCGCGTACAAAAAGTGCCAACGGCGAAATGGCTATATATATGTAGACTACACAAATATATATGTAGACTACACAAAAAAAAAAAAAAAAAAAAACGTACTTTTAAAAACATACAATCGGAAACAATGGCATCCACACGAGAGGTCAAACGAACAAGTACACATGCGAAAAACACACACCTTGAAAGGGTATAATTATAAAAAAAAATTTTGTTTTTTTTTTTTTTCTCGTGTGCTGTGTGCAGAGGCCGAAGCCTTATAACTACACAAGATGATCTTGGAGGTTGCGAAAAGTGGGCTCCGCTCTGGTGGGAAGAAGCCTCCTGTCCACTCTCCTGCCGGTGTAATATGTTACAAACCTGCACGAGGCGAACGGTCGGTGCTCCCACTTGATTAAAACCTCCCAATTCGCTTCGAACTGCTACCACTCACTCACTCTCACTGCGGAATGCCGTGCACAAATAGTAGGTCAAATTTCCCGGTTTTTGCAATTATCTCTCACGTAAAGAGCAAAAAAAAAACACAACGCGGGATGAAGCGAATTAGAAATCACACGTGCACTCACAGATGGCCAAAACGGACCCTTTGCAAACGTACATACCACAAAAAAAAAAAAATAATAATAAATTAATAAAATAAAAAACAAAATAACTGTTCTTGTTACGTAAAGGTTTTCACATTTTTATCAGGATACATGCTCTTGAAAGAGGCAAGTAAAAAAAAAGAAAAAAAAAAAAAAAAACATAAACAGACACATATAGGCGCGATTGCATTTCCCCGTTCGATAGACGGTCTGGATACGAACACAAAGCGGAGTCACGAAAAGGACGCGGTTATATTCACCCTCTCCTACTTACATGTAAAGCAGTCTCAGGGTAACGTACCAAGTGGTTTTTACCCGCGCTTTGCAAATACTTATAAACGCGGGGTGGGGGGTGGATTAGGGGCATACTTCTGCTGAGCACAAACATACGGACACACACAAACACATGCGGAGGATTTACCAGTGGACCGGTCCTACCCTCACGTGATCACGCTTCTCTCTTACACACTAACAAAGGGAAAAAAGCAAACGGCGAACTGATTTTACTCAGTTATTTGGCCAACGCATATTTTATTCTCATGTTATGGTGCCAATGCGTGCGTCGTTTTTTATTTTTAAAAAAGGTTGCTCTTCATACAATTCTTTCCCACCTGTCATGCCTCTTCTCAATCGATTTACCAACATGCACAAAAGGTGTTCATAGGTACCCGCAAGATTATTGGCCACTCCAACTGCGGTGTATTTGAGGCACCCGTTCGGTTCAGCTCCACTCAATAATGGGGTTACCCCTTGTTGGTTCCTTCCTTCTATATGCTGCTCTCCCGCTTACAAAGCTCTGTTCCTATGATTTATGTCCTCTGCAAATTTGCGAAGACTTCCTCGTTGGAACAGCGGAGGCAAAGCGATACATAAAGATAACGTACACTTATACATGCACAATTGCGTTCGCTAAATTTTTTTTTTTTTTTTCTCGTGATAAGCATGCAATGAGGGTGACCCCCAAAAAAGAGCTTTGTTGAAAAACACCTGTTTTGTTGCTCTTCACGTGCTCAAGTACAGCTGCGTTTTCAACAACGGGATGTATCCCTCACCCAAAGTGTACAAATAAGGGTATGTGTTTATACATGTACAGATCGTGTGAACTCTACACTTGTTGTTAAGCGTGTAGTCACTCGTGTAATTATTCTCGTACATGCGCATTGCAAATGTTAGAAGGATCTTTCATTATTTTCAACTTCTTTGCAACTTTTCCCTTTGTTGCTTATATGCCGTTTTCTCCCCTTTCATACTTTTTTTTTTTTTTTTTTTTTTTTTTAGTTATATTAATTTTAATTATTTCTCATACTTTTCGTTGTTGTAAAAATATTAATAAAAAAAAAAAACAAAACAAAAATAAAATATATGTTATAAAAAACATGTTGTTTTTTTTTGTTTCTGTTTTTTTGTATGGGTTACACTTGTATGTTTTTTTTTATTCACCTTTTCACTTTTTATTTTTTTTTAATTATATTTTTTTTTTTTACATTTTTTGTGAGCGTACAAAAAAAAACAGGGGGTTACAACGCATTTTGTTAAGCATATTTTTCCCCGTTTTTTTTTTTTTTTTTTAATAAAAAAAATTGTGTTACTTTTTGTTGTGTTGTGTTTATGGTTCCTTTTGTACCTGCAGCCTTTTCTCTCTCCCCTATTTTGTGTTCATTTTATTCGCCGCACCGCGGTATTATACCCTTCTTCATGCGTGTATTTTTTAAAAAAAAATGCTCGCTGAAATTCCTACATTACCTCCCCCTACATGAGGAATAACATGTTCCTTTTGTTGCTTGCTGCGGCAGGCACATGCATACATATATATATATATATAATATTAATACTTATTATAATATATATATATTATATATAAATGTGCTTTACAATTTTAATTATGCATAGTGCTGTATCTCTATATAACGCCCAGTACCGTTGCTAATTTCCGTGAGCGTTATTTGCAAGTGCCTTGTGCAGCACCTCATCCACGATTGACCACTAATTTTAAAACAGTGGCTCAACTCAAAGGTGCTTGCAAGCAAGCTCAAGTCAGCACTCCTCCGGTAAAGTTATTAATTTCATATTTTATATTTTTGTAAGTTTTCTTACCCGCGCACGCACTTAAACACAGACCATTTTTGTTCATACAAATATGAACCATATTTTTTTTTTTTTTTTTTTTTTTTTTTTTTTTTTTTTTTTACACTCCTCGTAATTGAGATGGGTTAGGTGAATTTTCTGTGCTTCTTTTCCCAGCAGTTGTGATGTGGTGCGCCGCCTTACAGTTCCGTTGTCGATCCGATATGAAGGCCCACCCATCGATGTGGCTATTTAATATACGTGTCATGAGAAGAAGAGGTGGGGACTTGTGCCTCCTCCTCTTTCCTTTTCTCTACGCTGCTACTAGAAGGGCTAATCATGTGAACACATACCCTTCCGCGCGCGTTCTTTTCTCCGCTTATTTTGTTCTCCTTTTTTTCCACAAAAATGGAGGTCCCTTTTTGTAAATACCTTTTCCTACAAATGTTATGCACAAAATGACGTTCATGTATAGAAGATCCTCTTTTTTTTTTTTTTTTTTTTTTTTTTGGCATTGTTCGGTTGACTCCAAGTTCATCACCATTTAGGGTTACTGTTTTTGTCAGTTCTTTTAGTTAGCACACCTGGGGGTGCGCGGTTCGCTAGGCGAGTACAGAACACGCGCAAAAATAAAAATAATAATAATAAATAAATAAAACACATACATATGTGTATACGCCAAGTGTATGTGCGCGCGCATTTGCTTACCACACCACATGCATACATATGCGCACTCAACCTTGCATGTGCATGTGCATGCGCGGGGGCCGCGCGCCAACGCCCACTCCTGAAGGGGAACAAAAACTGCTGTCGCGCGACCTGGAGGCCACCTGGCCCCCCACATCCCCCTAGACTCCAAATATAGTCCAAAGTTCGCGTTCCATTTTTTGAGTCAATTTTGAAGGGCAAAACGCTCAGGTGAGCCGGCTAGCAGGTTACTTATAGCAGGTGAGTAGCCACCCAAAAGTAGTTTCCATCCGATCTGCCTCTCCACAGATCTGCCACCCAACACAGATGTACTTCCCTGCTGAGGTACACCTGCCAACCGGACAACCCTCGCTCGCGCGCCAATTCTGAGGCTCTCCTCTCCAAATGTAAATTCTACACGTACACATACACGTCACTAGTGCTGTTCACTCTACCGTACTGCCGCACCCCAGGTGTGCTTACGTACTAAGAGAGCCCACACATACCCACCACCACGGGGCGCAAGCGAAGGGGCTAAAGTATAAAAAACCCTAAGCAAAAATAAAAGTAAAAAATAAATGTAAAAATAACAGTATCCAAATATAAAACTGCTAACGCGTAAAAAAAAAAAAAATAAATAAATAAATTAAAAACATGCAAAAGCAAATGAACCAAAGGGTAAAAAACCAGTTAACACAAAAAAAAATAACTCCCTTTTTTCATACATGCACAATCCCGAGCACACTCAAAAAAATTTTTTTTAAATTAAAAAAAATTAAAAAAAAAAAAAAAGGTCTCCCCGGAGTTGGCTTCTTAAACTGCAATCGTGTTTGTGTATATATTTTTTTTTTTCCATCCTGGTTCTACCTGGGCACACTCACAACGGTGTGGCAGTTCGGCTTCTACAACAGGTGCACACCCCCTGCTGCTTCCGTAGTTGTGCCCGGGCGCATGTTGCCGTGCCTCTTCCCCAGGCCAATTGGCCAAACGTACGTGTGTCTACAAAAGTAGCCCCGTCTATACCCTCCCGGCCTCTCCACGCTTAAGCCCACGTGGTTGTGCTCCTTGCATGTCTGTTCCATTTTTCTTCGAGCCGAACCAATTTTCACATCATACGTGTATACATAAACACATACACGTGTGCATATATGTTTTGTTTTTTTTTCTTTTTCTCGTGAAGGAGTTAGAATAATTCACACCGCTCACACATTTAAATTTCATGCCATACCAGCGTCCGTTTCGTCTATCCCACCGAGTACATGTGGTTGACATGTGCCAGCATTCCTCTTTTCCTCGCGCAGGGCAAAGTATCCCCTACCCCTACTCTGCCTCCTGCGTAGCACTTTCTCTCCTTTTGTTTGTCTTTGTCCTTATCCCTTTAAGTGTTAATTGCTTTCAATTATAATTTAACAACGAATTAGCGCATGTGATTTGTACTTTGTGTTTTTCCACACTGCACAGTCGCCCCACGCACACCCCCCTGACTCTAGGGTTGGGGCCACTCCGTGTCCTATTTATATGTGCCCTGTGACACACACCGCGCACACGCAAGGAAGTGCTGCTCAGTGGGCATACCTGCGGAGAACCCTTTGGGGATAACCCCTTGATGTTCTCTGCGCGGTATGCATGTGTGTACCCTGCGCCGCCGCTCTACAACTTGCCCCTCCCGTTTGCAATCCATGCCACTTCCAACCGTCTATAAAGAAAGAGAAGGAAGGAGAAGGAAAGAAAAATGAAACCATAATTCATGGCACACATTACACACCCCTTGTAACCTTTTCTTTGATGCACCTTTATTTGAATTAATTTTAAAAAAAAAAAAAAAAAAAAAAA